CAAAACGACATGAAAGAGCTTCGCAGTGGCCGCAGCTTGTCGCAGTCTTAAGAGGCTGAAACATCGCTGAACAACACCAAACGGCTCAGGCAATAATCCGAAACTAGAACCAAGATAAACAGAGCATATGAGTTGAGCAATTGAAACATGCAGAATGCAGTACAAACTGAAAATGCTACAGTGCACGCAGTGTGACGAGCTTCGTCAGCTGCACTCAATTGAAACTGACATTGGAGTTTGTCCTTTCTTTGTTCTTTTTGCCCGTGAAACATTGATAAGAAACCCTTAAGATTATATAATTTCAAGTTCTCACCTGTAATGCAATCGGCTTGTGCCTAGGCTCCAGAATGTTGGGGGCTAAACTCACCGTTGGGAATCAAATTGGACTTGGAGGGAGGGGGAAGTAGCCCACTGAAAAGAATACAAATTGACAATTATGTCGTCTGGTTTTTGCAAATATTTCATCGAATATTCACGTCGAAGTGATGTTCGGTGCATTTCAACGCGCCCTCCTAATGTAGGCGGCTAATAGCTTGGCTACGTTTTTTATGCAAATATTCCGCCGCTTTGTTTCCATCTTGTGGTTGCACGTATTAAAACAACGTAACTTGCTGTGGTCTGTATAACCAAAACATCACTGAATTATGCAACAACACTCTCACAATGGCACAAACCTAGACCAGAGTCAGCAAGAGATATCAGTCGTGTGGATAAAAGCCTGCAGAATGCAGGAAAAGCTGCATAAAGCTGAAGTAAACACGGTACGAACGCAAAGCTTTAAAGGCATGAATTATTCAGTGAGGTGCAGTAAAATGTATGTCATTTGGCAGTATTTATTTTCCTTGACCGTTTACCTGTGAAGCAATGAGCAAAAGTATTTTTAAGTTTGACATACTTTAGAGATCGTCGTTGTCAAGTCCTACATGTATTTCGGCTCCAGAAGGTTGGGGGGCCAAGCTCGCTGGGGACGCAGATTGAGTGTTAGGGGGGCTAGTGGTCCACCCAAAAGAATGTAAATCGACACACGTAGATACAAGTTGAGCATTGAACATACATGTACCCTAGAACAAGGTTTCTGAGCAGTTGTAACGTACTTGGGGTGCACTCTTATAAAAGTAGGTCGGTCCTGTTTTTCAAAAAAAAATCGCGAGGATGAGGTGAAATTGACAAAAACTTTGCATATACCATTGTGTTTTCGCCGTAATATTTTGTTTATAAAACTCCGCAGATACTGAGCGTGCAGGTTTTGTGAACCTGGCAACCACTGAGGAACTCGCGGGGGCAAGATTTCCTACTGGATACGGCGTCACGGCTAGATTGCTGGGCTAATGCAGCTCTTCTCAATGATACGACATCCGATAGAAAATTAATGTAATACAATCCAAGAACTTAGTGGGTGCTGCAAGATGTGGACTGACTTGTGTTATTTAAGGATATAACGAAGGTAAACCGGAGAAATTTAGTATATATTTCTGCTGTATGCCAAAAAACCCAGTAGTGCTAAATTTCATACCTCTAACAAAATCCATTGTTGCTGTCGTTGTCATGGTTACGGGCATGCGTTTCCGTTTTATAGCACAGCATATATTTGCGGAATAAAGTTTAAAGGGTAAATGTGCCAACTTCAGCTTATTCACATCGCTAAGGATTTCCTGCGCTGAATCGTGTCGCGGTGCCTGCCTGCCTCTCACCCTTGCAGGAAGGGCGGGCACCGCGGGAAATCGAACCCGGTACCTCTGGTTTCCCAGGTGCGCAGTGATTGACGCAGACGCGTGGTTACGCGCAGCGGTTGACGCAGACGCGTTAATCACTATACGACTGACACACATTTTCTTGTAGTTCGGAGCTTGGAGCTATCGAACTCGGCGGTGGAAAAGCTGAAAAAAAATTGCATCCGTTGACGGTGATTTTTTATAGAACCGGCCTATGGTCATTTAAGATGGCATCTTTATGGATTCACAGCCGCGCAATCGCACGGCGTACTGTTCCAGGACGGTGATGTGATATTTTGGAATTTGCGTATCGATGAAGAAACCCTTTTAGCCTCACACCTCCGGGAACATTTCGTGAACTAAAAATGCTTACGTCTAATAGAAATTGTACGCAAGGCTTAAATCACACGTCTGGTCAAGAATATCACAAACAGCACTCCTGCCGGCGGCGTCTCTTAAACACCAACATAGAACGACTGTCGACAGCAAAGACGGCCATCGTGCGCAGTTCTGGATGTCAATGTTTGCAAGATGCTTCCACGCATATGGAATTGTACGTTTTTATTCGTTGGTGAAGTGATTTATTCGTAGGTATTGTTTGCGGGAGTGGCTCTGAGATTCGGATCCTTAGTTGACATAGTTCGCTTCGCGGTATTGGATTATCTATCCCAATGGTTCAAACTGTTGGATACCTTTGATAACTGAAAAAGCCAAACCCGTAATCCGCCACTTGACCTTTTCTAAAAACAAATCTAGCGAAGATTCATGTGCCACTTTCCGGTGCCTGCTGATACAGCGTGGCGCTGTGCCCGGTGCCGCTCGCTGTGACCGCGGCTCGGCGCCCGGCCGCGGTGCGGCCTCGATCGGTCAACTGTTAACCAGGTGTCGGCGTTTTAGTCAAGTTTCATTTAGCGCTAGTCTCACAGGCAGGTACAAAAATAGCCGGGATTTGAGGCACGGGACACGCCATGGAACACTCGCCCACCTGCCGTCTCGCGCAAGAAGCAAAGCACCAGTCGAGAATCCGGACAAAGCCGGCGCGGCAAATCTGACGGAACAAGCGTCTTTCAGCGGCAAAAAGCTGAAGCACTCATAAGTCCACTTAAAGTTGGCTGTCAGGCGCTGCACCTGCTACAACGCCTCCTTCACTCCGGGAGAGGGGCATCCGTTGGTGTGGGTCCGCCCACTCAGTGCCTCCCGTCCGCGCAGTGCCCGCCCGTCGGTGCGCGCACGCCCACAGAGCGGCCGCAGGTGGGCCCCTGATCTGCCGGCCGGCCCGCAGTACACGGACTGCAGGGTCCAACCGCCACCCGACAGACAGCCGCTCCGAAATATGCGGCGCTCATTCAAATTTCTCCTCTCCACTCAACGCTGAAAAGCTATCTTTGCGCGGGCTACTACAAGAGCGGGAGCCCGGGGTGCGCGCTGATCAAAGCCATTTGTGTCGCTGGTTATAAACCCGGCGTGTGCACCCATATCTGGCGGATATGCCTATGTCCTGCGGCGGTCGACAAACAGTGCAAAACTGCATTCGTTTGCATGGCACACAACTGGATGATGTTGCTTACGAGGCCAACTTATATCACCAATGAATAGTCAAGGGCTGACTAGGTTCAGAAGGCTTCACAAGCAACTAGAACGGCTGTTGGGTGGAATGAGGGACCTCTAAGTGGCCAGAATGGTGAAGATGCAGCTGACAAGTCCCCGAGGTCCAGAGGGTGCAAGTGAGGATGCAGCTGACAAGTCCCCGAGGTCCAGAGGGTGCAAGTGAGGATGCAGCTGACAAGTCCCCGAGGTCCAGAGGGTGCAGGTGAAGATGCAGCTGACAAGTCCCCGAGGTCCAGAGGGTGCAAGTGAGGATGCAGCTGGCAAGTCCCCGAGGTCCAGAGGGTGCAAGTGGGGATGCAGCTGACAAGTCCCCGAGGTCCAGAGGGTGCAGGTGAAGATGCAGCTGACAAGTCCCCGAGGTCCAGAGGGTGCAGGTGAAGATGCAGCTGACAAGTCCCCGAGGTCCAGAGGGTGCAGGTGAAGATGCAGCTGACTGGTTCTGGTGACCACACGGGCCGCACTAGCCACCAGGGTCCACGAGTGGCCAGATGAACCCGATAATATCAAGGGCACTGTGGCTAACTGAACGGTCGACGTGACCTCTGAGTGGTCAAAGAGCCCATGACCTGTTCCGGGTTTCCTTAGTGTCCAGAAGTGAATAGAAAAGGTCTGAAGGTCCCCAAAGAGCTAAAGGGACCCTTAAACGACCATGAGGCTCCTAGTGACCACCAAGACCCAGAGGTCTTGACCTTTGACCCCATGTGATCTGTAGTCATTGGCGTCTACCGTTGTTTTTATAGGTCGCGGTTCATTATCAGCAAGCGTCATTTGCCGTGGAAAATGAACAGAAACATGATGATATAGAAATATTTTATGGCGATGCTCTTCCCCAGTCTTGCATACCGTGCAACTAAAGAAAGTTTCCTGTACCCTGGGACTAAGACATTTCAAGAAGTACGCTTCTCGAAATAATTCAATGACATCTTTTTGCTTGTCAGGCAAACGAGTTATCTGGGTGTGCTTCTATTCATGCAACAAGCGGAAATAACTTCCTTGTCTGTGCTAATCTCGAATAATTCTGAACCAGCGAACAAAAACATTAGGCAGTGGGGTGCAACCCAACCCCTGCCTCCTTTATCACAATAGAACGAGCAACAAAGAGAGTGTGCGCGTCAGCATGAGATGGGTGGTCCTTCTCCTCCGCAGCCCACTATCAGCTGTTATCGCCGGAGCAACCCGCGCTATGGTGAAGACGCACGTGCATACACCAACTGCAGTGCCTTTGGATTGTGTTTTTTTCAAGTTTAGGGAGGTATAAACAGATGGACACCTTTGTCAACACAGGGAGGTCCTGTTTTGGACGGGACGCTTGGCCTGGTCGCACAGACACTTGGCCACGCGATATCGTTTATGCACGATACACAATGCGTGCCCAAAGCCTTTGTGAGCGAAACGTCGTGTTGCATTGCGTGCGTTCCGACTGCCTTGCGGAAAGTCTTCACGACGGCGTAGCTCTGATTTCTGCTAGCGATAGGAAGCACGCGCAATTAAGCACTGACTCGGCACCACGCGCGCCCATCACCCGCTGCGGGCTTGGAAGTAGCTCTCGTGGACTAGATCTTGTCACTGGCATGCAGGCGCAACATCGCCGTGACATATCTCAGGCGCAGGGAACTTGTTGGCGTGTGTGCGAGCGGAATATTGTGTTCCTGTCACTGACGACGCCCTACGTTTCGGCAGGCCGGAGTGGGTTTGTTCCAGTTCATGCTGTTTCTGGTGCTCGGCCTGAGCTTAGCGGCGGACACCATTGAGCTGTTCGTTGTGGCGTACGTCATACCTAGGTAAGACGCATGCACTCGTATGTGGGAATTAATAGCCCACAAGTAAACAATTCCTATCGCTCAGTTACAGCGAAGCAAAGTAAAATAAAGAACGATGGAAATGTGCATTATCGTCAAAGCCACTCACTACGCACAACAGGAAGCTTGCTGCACCCGCGTTATTTAATGCCTGACGATGGTTCCGCTTACATAAATAACTGCTTTCCCGGCAGTGCGGAAGTGGAGCTGTGTATGACGAGCATTCAGAAAGGATGGCTGGGTAAGTAGAAGAAGTGCAAATGATTTGACAAATATGGCCTGCATTAGTTTATGGTGGGAAGGACGTGACCTCGCCACCGCTTTGACCCGCTTCTGCAGGATGCTGACAAGAATAGCAACATTATGAGCCGAGCTGCGACATTCCCACTTAAAAGTCTAAGGCATTACACATATGTGATCAAGGATATCCGCTGACATTAGACGCTGCCGCTTAGCAGCCATCGATGGCATCATCAGGACATTGACCAAACATGCAGCCATCGATGGCATCATCAGGACAGTGACCAGACATGCAGTGACACCAGTTACCATCGAAAGGGACGCTGAACGGGGTTTCGCCGCCCCACAGGCGCCATCACGTTCGTCGGCATGATGATCGGTGCCATCATCTGGGGCGTGCTCTCCGACGCTATGGGACGGCGGCGCACGCTGGTCTGGGCGCTCACCGTCAACGTCATCTTCGGCATCGTCACTGTCTTTATGCCCACCTACGGCACGTTCATGCTGTCGCGACTCTGCAGCGGGGTGGGGTGAGTAACGTGCGGAGCGCTGGGGTGTTGTGAGCGGCGCGGGATTTACGGGACAGGCCGGAGCGACGCTGTGCAGGCGCCTTGTTGGATTAGGGACAGGACATGCGAGATTCTGGCGTATGCGCTCTGCTCGGAACAGAGTCTGTACTATCTGCGCGACGCCCAACTGTCTTCCAGCGTTCTCAAGTGCTTGTTCGAGTCCTGCACATCAAATGATGCATGCTGACTCTGAAGGCTACTTGAACCATGCTCTTTGTGATGGTATCGCGTGTGCTGGCTGCCTTACTGCGTCTTTGCATTGCTCACCATAAGCCACAGATCATTCCTTCTGTTTGAGAGGAGGTCACAGCGCGTTATGTTCGGTGTTGAATTATGGGAGCTAGGGGCATGACACTTAATACGATACTTTTTCACAAGGAATCCGAAATAGCATCGTCATCCCTTTGGTCGAAATGTGATTAATTTAATTGATTGATTTGCTCTCGATTGAAGCGATGTTATGCACTCATTATCGTGTTGTCTTCAGAAGTAGTCTAGCTCAGCGCATTTTTGTCGAGTCTTCATTTTCTCATCTCACCTTTTCAGCATCGGGGGCTCGATTCCCATCGTGTTTGCCTACTTCTGCGAGTTTCTGACCAAGGCGCGCCGTGGCAAGTATCTGAGCTGGCTGCTCGTCTTCTGGTCGATCGGCGGCGTGTTCGTGGCATTCGCGGCCTGGGTCATCATCCCACGCACAGGTGCAGAGTGCTCGTGATGATTACGCGAGAACCAGTCCTGGGTCATCACACCACGCGTGGGTACAAAGTGTCATTCAGTAGGACGGAGTCGGGCCATCGCCCGCGCACAGCCGAGCGCAGTTTCAGGAGAAGCGTCCATGCCTGTATCCTCATCCTGCGCACAATGGACCGTTAGACGCCAGGGACCGGTTCGGGTCCTCCCAACGTGCAAAGGATCAGCCTCGAACACCGGCATCAGGCCTGTGACATCAAAGGCTCAGCCTCGAACACCGGGATCAGGCCTGTGACTTCAAAGGTTCAGCCTCGAACACCGGGATCAGGCCCGTGACATCAAAGGTTCAGCCTCGAACACCGGGATCAGGCCTGTGGCATCAAAGGCTCAGCCTCGAACACCGGGATCAGGCCTGTGACATCAAAGGCTCAGCCTCAAACACCGGGATCAGGCCTGTGAAATCAAAGAACGCACATATCTCATATCGGGATGCGACACGAACATCGGCCATAGGCCGGCGCACAGATAGAACAGTTTATGAGTTCTTGTGATAAATTAACTGATTGTCACTGTACCAAAAATAACGCTGACACAAGGATTTTAAGCAATCATTGAGCATATTCACTCAAACAAATACTAGACAGTTCCAACGGTGTTCGTGGTCTTTCATCGTAGGTCACAATGCCGAAAGCAACAGGAGCTTTCTGTGTATGTTACAGCTATATACCCGAGTTCTACACTTGTATCCGTTATTGTTATATTTATTAAAGGGGATGAGATAAATAACTCAGTTATTATCATATTTCGTGAAGAGCATGAAATGAATACGCTGTGTAGAACACCGAGTGTTGAGAGTAGCGGCGTGTGGCCGGCCGCACAGGTGTGATGGTGGTGATCGAGGAGCGCGCGCACTTCTCGTCGTGGCGGGTCTTCTTGTTGGTCTGCAACCTGCCGTCGATCCTGGCGCTGCTCGGACTCACGTTCATGCCCGAGTCGCCCCGTTTTCTGCTGGAGGCTGGGCGCGAGATCGAGGCCATGCGCGTGTACCAGGTCAGTGCATTGGTCCACCTCTTTTCTGCTCTTCTCAAGAGCCTCGATCTTCTCGCCGATGTGTCGGTGACGGCGTGCGTGAGGCCGAGTATTGGGACCGAGCCTGAGCGTCCTCTGATTCTGTTCTGGGACCGAGCCTGAGCGTCCTCTGATTCTGATTGCAGTGCGTTGTTCACATCAACGTTATGCATGCATCCCGGCGGTATCTGTGCACAGGTAACGTCACCGTCCCTCTTTGGTTTGGCCAAATTCACTTGTGAGTGCTGAATACCTGCATTGAGAGCCAAATGCAGTTTCGCTACGCAGTTAAAAGGAATCCTGCGGGAAGTTGGAGGGCCTGACGTGGCAATAAGCCGAGGAGGTCGCAGGCCTGACGTGGCAATAAGCCTAGGAGGTCGCAGGCCTCACGGGGCAGTAAGCCGAGGAGGTCGCAGGCCTTACGGGGCAGTAAGCCGAGGAGGTCGCAGGCCTGACGTGGCAATAAGCCTAGGAGGTCGCAGGCCTGACGTGGCAATAAGCCTAGGAGGTCGCAGGCCTCACGGGGCAGTAAGCCGAGGAGGTCGCAGGCCTCACGGGGCAGTAAGCCGAGGAGGTCGCAGGCCTCACGGAGCAGTAAGCCGAGGAGGTCGCAGGCCTCACGGGGCAGTAAGCCGAGGAGGTCGCAGGCCTGACGGGGCAGTAAGCCGAGGAGGTCGCAGGCCTCACGGGGCAGTAAGCCGAGGAGGTCGCAGGCCTCACGGAGCAGTAAGCCGAGAAGACATCAGCGTTATTTGGAGCACTCTGTTAATAATTTTGTCAGAGGTGATGTAAGATTGAACTCATGTGATAGAAACGCTGTTAAATGCCGAATACGTTTATAGCTTCAATGCTGAATTGCACAGAACAGTTTGGGACGAGGTAAAGGGGCCTGGGTCACTCAAAAAGTCTATATTGAATCTCTTGTTGAGTTGAAGGCAATGGTCAATGAACTTGGATTAAGTGTGAATGTAACCATGCTAATGATCAAGTACCAACACAGGAGTGAGTGCACCGGTCGTGACGAAGTGTGAATGCACATTTTAAGTCCTCGCTCAGGGGATAATACGGCGCGGTGCATTAGACTAACGCTTCCGAAGGTGGCGTTTCGGAGTCGTGACACTCCAACCAATTACTTTGTCAGAAGCCAAAGATACTAGACAAATGTGCAAGGATTTGTAGGGATCGACACGCGCGCTATGGAAGAGGTTACAAGAAAGTGTTCAGCCACGTGTTCCGGGCAGACCCCACAATACACCATGGGTTTCCCGCGATCCCATTCGCTCGCAGAGATCGGGCATGCCACAAAATTTAGGTGATTTTGCATAAAACCACAACGCAGTTAAGATTGCATATGGCAGCTGTTTGAACCCAACCAATTCCGAACACATGAAACATTAATGCTTTTGTGCTCTGCCCCCGGTAGTAATTCCATGGAGCAACGCTATTCTCTCTTGGAATTGCGGCTGTTTGAGGATTTCTTGGCAAAGAAGAGCTGGAAATGATGAAGTGTTGTGGATAAATCCTCCGGATATTTGGACATTCAGCTTCGTTGAGGAATGACACACATAATGCCACGTTCGTCATCTGGTCAATGCAATTATCAATCGCTTTCACTGCTTAAATATTTTGACCGGTGGTGGAATGATCATTATGTACATTCACGTTTTATACTGGTGAATGAACAGGGAATTTACCTCCTGTCATCTAAAGCAAACTCATTCTGGACCACGAAGTTTAATATTTTGTGATGTGTTATGTATATATATATATATATATATATATATATATATATATATATGTATATAATGTATGTATATCTTAGGTGTATCAAGATAATTTTTATCAATAATGAGACGCTTGTAAAGGCAGGGACCTTCGCTCTACATCCTGGCAGCCTCAGTTAAACACCCACATATTAATGTGGGACGCACGCTAACGGGCCAAAAGTCTGCAAAGTGATTACGGTGTGAAGAGCAGCCTCCCGTCAAAAGCAAGACCCTAAATGAATCAAGAAAGCGTGTGGTAGGTCTCTAAGTGTTCAGCTCAGGCCATCCTGCAGCATGCTGAGTCCGTCCAATCACGAGCTCGCGGCGGCACCAAGCTCCAGATCGGTTACTGCCCTGCCCCCCCCCCCCCTCCCCCTGTGCACGCTAGCAACAGCGATGCCAGCATAAGTGAGCATGTGCACAAGCATGTGCTATATTTGTTTTTACACAACGGTATTACGAACGGCGTCGTGCTTGTCAGTGAAAAAGCCTCAAAGTGCAGTTGTTCATTTAAATTCGTCCACAAATATCAGGTGCACTGTCAAATGGGTCACAAACACATGTGTACTAACATATGCAATTGGCGTTTCTGTTTCATGACTTTACCTTGGGTTCATCCCAAACATTATTCGTCCGAGCCATTACTTTCACTCACTTCTTCTTTGTGCATGACATCATCTCCCATCTTATTGTTGTGCTCTCACCAGCCTGTAGTTCGACCCCCAATTTCAAACACAAATCGCCCATCACATTCAAAAGAAGCGTGTTTACACCGTCTGTATTTGTGCAGCGCATCTACAAGTGGAACCACTCGGACCCGTGCGCTCAGTACGCTCTGACGGAGCTGGAGCTGCCGAAGCAGCGCGGGTACCGGGACGCGGAGCGCGCTCCCTCCAAAACTATCATGGCCGGCCTGGTCACCGCCCTGGACAAGGTGGGTTCACCCGGCCCTCCCTTCCAAGACGGCTGAGTTGGTCGGGCTCCCTTGGAAAGCCGGTGGTTCAGGTGGACTTCATGCGTGAAGGTACCTATCGTCGCCCACAGTTGCAGCCGTTTCGTGCAGCTGCTGTCCTTATGCGAAGCCGCTAGATATTGTGTCGACAACTGCCATCAAGCATTTCATCGGCTTTTGACGGATGAATGCACCGTCTGCTTACAGCTGCACGCTGAGATTCGCTTCCTTCCGGATTGGAGCTTTAAACGTCCGAAGTAAAAATGCGAATGAAACTTCACCGTTTGCAAGGAAAGACAAGCGATGATGATATAACTGACTACAATCCCAGATTGTTCCATGACTCTGTACAACAGCGCTCCATAACGTTTGCCAGAACAAGCTTGTGTGGCCGGTGTCAAACCCTCATCTTCCTAAAATGGGGCTGGTTCCTTGCGCGGAACTATAGAACACCACAGAAGCTGGAATGTCTCGAGATGCAAGACTCAAATACCTTAAAGGTTTCGCTTCACCTTTGATGATACTTTGGGGTTCCACGACGGCATTCATAAGTTATCAAAAGAGACTCTTTCGAAGGAGATCAAGGGATAATTTTGCCGTTAAAGTGCCTTCCTCAATGCCCTTAGCAGACAGGCCTGACATTCCTGCCCGCACTGTCGGAAGGTTGGCTTCATATCAACCGGTTTGCATCCAGCGGATATGCGCACTAATCATTGCAAACATTTTGTCCTGCACGCTCGGGTCATCGCGCGGCGCACCGATTACATAAGACATTCGACTCCCAATGAGAGGGTAGAACTCGTCTTACCTCCCTCACACACATCCAGAGGCGGTGCACCTCCACGGCCGGTCCGCGGTGCTCGCGTGCGGCCTTCCCTGGCCGTGATGCGGGCTGCCGTCCGGAGGTGTTCAGCAGAGCGTGCAGAAGCGACCGGCCTGTGTTGCAGTTTTGGAGCAGACTGTCGCAGCTGCTGCTGCCGTCCCACCGCTCCACCACCCTGGTGCTGCTCTTCGTCTGGTTCATGGCGGCCTTCGGGTGAGTACGCCGTGAACCACTCCTCTGTGCCGTGTGCAGACTCCTCTGTGCCGTGTGCAAACTCCTCTGTGCCGTGTGCAGACTCCTCTGTGCCGTGTGCAAACTCCTCTGTGCCGTGTGCAGACTCCTCTGTGCCTTGTATAGCGCGGCAGGCGCTGCAAGCCTGTACCCTCTGATTGGCAGCTGTTGTACTGTTTGCAACACGCAGGTTCGTTTCTTCAAATTTTGAGATTTCCTGCCACTGATTTGTTTTTTCATAGCAAATGGATTCACGTTAAAGGTTCATTAGACAAATGTTATGCGCCATAATGTGAAATATGTGTTTGGAATTGAGGAAAAATATGTTTGTCGTATCGACAAGGATATGCTCACATTCTCGTCAATGAAAAGAAGCGTCTCTATATCTGTGGCTGGGTACCATGAAACGCTGATGCAATAACGATACACATCAACAAACTGTCCCGTCATATGTCGAGTTTGTCAAGTCCAAAGTGCTATGCATGCGTTATGTCAAAATGTTTACACACATCGAGCTTACGTATGCAGTTTATTTCAAGAAAAGGCAAAAACTTATAGGTTATAGGAACGCAGATTTTCGTTTGATTTTCGAAGACCACGTTGCCACTATAGAGGTTCTTTTCCATCCAGCCTGCCCGCCGTTGCGTGAAGGTGTTCTGAGGATGGTTTAACATTATAGTTAAGCACGGGGTTGCCATATGCAGTATCTCGTAATGAGGGGTGTTTTTAGCCTTTTAAAGGTCCATTTGGCCGACTTATAGGATCCGCGCAACATTACACCCCGTAAGTGGAGCAGGCGCTCACCGCAATATCCCGTCTAACTGTCGGGGTGGGCCAATACGCTCACGGGAAATGTTGCTGACACGGGCAATGGAATTTTTGAGATTGCGTCGCTTGAGCTGTTAGCTGTCAATGTAATGGACGCGTGTTCCCGTCGGACAATGCAAAGGTTAAGAATAATTAACTGCGCTTCACGCAGCGGTATCACCATTTCACGCTGTTCCAGCACGCCATGAATTGCTGGAGGTATCATGCTTGTGCCTCTTGCCGCAGATACTATGGACTTTCCATCTGGTTCCCCGAGTTCATCAAGATGATCAAATCGCGCGATTACTCAACAAAGGCGACCTTCGTCATCGATGCCCAGTACGAACATAACTACTTTAACTACACCATATCCAACACCAAGTACATTAACTCCACCTTCTCCCGATGCAAGTGGTCGAATGCCATTCTCAACCACGTTGACTTCATCAACTGCGACATCCGCGAGTCCGTCTTCACCGACGTCAAGTCGTCTCGCACCAACTTCATCAACTCTACCCTCATTGCCAACCGTTTCGTCGACACGGATATCTATGAGTACCGCTTCAAGAACTGCACGCTGCTGAACAATAGCTTCCAGGCGATGGTGCCCGGCTGCAAGCTGGACTTCGACTACAATCTGCACTACGTCGATGTGTTCCAAGAGAACCTGATTGGTCAGATCTCACTGTTGCCAGGCAGCTTCATCGCATCGTACCTGTTGGATAAGGTCGGCAGGGCAAAGATGATCGGTGAGTAAGCAACGCCCGTCATATGAAACCACCAAAACACTGGTAGGGAGGGTCACCCTAGCTTGCTAAGTCTCTCTAACATCGACGACATGCTCAATTTGAGTGTTCCTAACGTTCTGTTATGTTTAGTTCGCCCCAGTTAACGGTGAAAGTAATGAGGTGCTCCGTGTATTTACTTGTTATGAGTCTCCAAAAGCATTGCCATTCGATGAACTGGCGCACTATTTGCTCCCCACCCCTCAGAAAAGGTGTCGGCTGGATCCGCCAGCTTCCGTTGGTCTGTCATGTTGGTGTGTAGCGATGTGGGCCGATTGCATTTCATTTGAACGGGGACAAAAGACAGTTTTAAAGTCTATGGGAGCATGTCACGCATAGCCAACGTCAATGACGTGCGCCATCGGCGTTGGCTATGCGTGACATGCTCTCACGTCAATGGCGTGCGTCATCGACACCCGGCCAAGTTGCCTTGCGCATCATCAGCGCCGCCCAAACGCTGACCCGCAATGGCCTGTTCTATTTGACAGCCGTCTCTATGCTGATATCATCGGGGGCCGGCTTCTTCATGTGGTTCTTGCAGACCAAGATCGGGGTGATTGTGTTCGAGGCTGCTTTCAATATGGTGTTCATCAGTGGCTGGAATGCTCTCGACGTGCTCACCACTGAGGTGTATCCCACCAACTTGAGGTACCCACGCTCTCTTCATCTTTGAAACACGTTGACATTGCGGAAGTCGTGTATGGGTTGCCTTTTTCGTAATGTGAACTTGTTAGGAGAGCTCCTGTTGCTGCGTAAGACTTGTGAAATAGCACACCAAGACCACAGGGCCCCAGGGTACATTTAGATTATGTCTTCGAATTTATTATTACCTGGCTTCCCAGGTAATCATAGAAAATTGCGTTACTAACGATAAGAAAATGTTGAACTCCCAAAACTTGACACTGGCCTGATCCTCACCTGACCTCCAAAAAAGTCTGATCGCGTCTCCTCTCCCTGCGATAGGACGACCGGCTACGGCTTCATCTCGTCCGTGTCACGTGTGGCCGGCGTCATCGGTACGCTGACGTTTGGCCAGTTTATCGAAGTCAACCTGGCCATCCCAATGCTGACCACGGTGGCTGTGCTGGCCATGGGCGGTCTGGCCGCCCTCAGACTGCCCGAGACCAAGGACGTGCTGGTCTGAAGGCGCTCCGGCCAGCGAGCGTCACGGAGCGCCGCCAGACCGCAGCGTGGCGACCCCGGCCGCGCCCGGTCACGTCCCCCGTCGATGTGCGACCCTCAGTGGGACCGGCCCGGTCCCGCCTCAGGAATGGTCACGTCCCTCGTCGATGTGTGACCCTCAGTGGGACCGGTCCGGTCCCGCCGGAGAAATGGTCACGTTCCCCGTCGGTGTGTGACCCTCAGTGGGACCGGTCCGGTCCCGCCGGAGGGATGGTCACGTTCCCCGTCGGCGTGTGACCCCCAGTGGGACCGGTCCGGTCCCGCCGGAGGGATGGTCACGTTCCCCGTCGGCGTGTGACCCCCAGTGGGACCGGTCCGGTCCCGCCGGAGGGATGGTCACGTTCCCCGTCGGTGTGTGACCCCCAGTGGGACCGGTCCGGTCCCGCCGGAGGGATGGTCACGTTCCCCGTCGGCGTGTGACCCCCAGTGGGACCGGTCCGGTCCCGCCGGAGGGATGGTCACGTTCCCCGTCGGCGTGTGACCCCCAGTGGGACCGGTCCGGTCCCGCCGGAGGGATGGTCACGTTCCCCGTCGGTGTGTGACCCTCAGTGGGACCGGTCCGGTCCCGCCGGGCCGGTTTCACTGGTCGGTCGGCGGCGCGGCCTAGTCCGCGCCTTGGAGCAGTCGGCCTGGTTGTGCGCGACGCTCACGACTCTGTGCAGGCCGGAGAGTGGCGGCGCCCATTTCCAGCCCGGTCAACTCGTCGCTGTTGTCTTTGCTTGTCTGATGTTACGATGCGTCGGTGTTGTGAGGAGTAGGGCGGACCTTGCTAAACCCGCCCGCCGACGCGTGCCGGAACTGAGTTGATCATCTGGCTGGTCAAGGCGCTATAAGCAGAGTCAGTCGGAATGCAGCACTATGGCTCGCGAGAGCGGCTGACGTGCAACGATTGAAGCTATGTGTGCTGCCCTGCTTAACGTTTGGGCCTTGTGCCTGCTCTGCAAAGCTGTCTGTTGCTGCCGTGAACTATGGCCCCGATCTCCAACTATCAGGTGTTTCAATGGTCGTTGTTATTTTGATCCATTTAATGTTGTGACATAGTTGAATACATTTACACTCACTGAGCCACTGTAGTAGGTCGTCTCCTAGCAGACTGCCATGCACGGTAGGTAGCAGTTGGTGGAAAAGGTTTGGCACGAAATTGACAAGCTCTGGCCAGCAAACCGCTGGGGCAGAGCCAGTGACGCCCATTGTCTCAGTGCAAGCTAATCAAATGTATTCCGGTGCCAATGCATGCCAGTATACGCCTAATACGACCTGAAGCAGACGAGGTCAATTTCAGCAGAACAGCTTAACCTTGACGCGTGCTAGCCGACACCTTTTCTGGCTAGATGTGTCCACTCCTGGTCTCTGTAAGCCCGTTCCAACAACCGAGCGCGTTTAGAAACACATACTTACACTGAACCATCTAGAATGTATTGTTTCATATATCAATGACAACGCAATCGGCCGACACGCGCTACGCTATTGTTCTACGCCTCACGCCGGGTAGCGGTAGTAGCTCACACACGACACACGTCTGCACGCGCGCACACAGACCAGGGGCAAGCCGGAGCCCGGCGGGCGGTGCGAGCGGCCGCCCTGCGCTGTTGGCGGCTCGCCCCTCGAGCGCGGGTGGTCTGGACGGGCTGGGGCCTCACCGCGTGTCGCCCCAGCCCGAGCGGCCGCCCTGCGCTGTCGGCGGCTCACCCCTCGAGCGCGGGTGGTCTGGACGGGCTGGGGCCGCACCGCGTGTCGCCCCAGCCCGAGCGGCCGCACCGCGTGTCGCTCCAGCCCGAGCCATCCGCGGCCATCCGCAACCAAGGCCAGCGCCCGTCGGACCAGGCCTCGAATGCTAGCGGAGAGCTGGAGACTGATTACCGGCAGGCGGAATGTGGGAGGCCGAGTGACAAGTGACAGTTTAGGTAGTTTCCGGGAGAGAAAGCCGCCGTGGTCTTGAAGAGTGCTCATTCCTCGTTGTGTGTAGCACTAGCAGGGACTCATACCCAAAATTTTCAATATGGCATAGTCTTCCGAGTTGGCTTTGCTCCCTTCATGGTGGGAACGATTCGAGTTGACGCTATTATTCTAGCAAAATACAGGCAAATCGTAATTTTGCAGGGTGAGCCGGCAAAACAGAGCCGACCTTTCCCATGTGTAAGTAGCTTTTGTGGGCCTTTTGGAAAAGACAGACATTGACCTTGCAGTAGCGTAGGTTGGCAATGAGCCGCTTCAAACAAAGATTTCACCGCCTTGGTGACGGCAGTGCACTACCATTGTCAGCGTTCCAAGAGCGTTTGAAAGTTTGACAGCTGCAACGCAAATCACGAGAACGGCATCGACAGATGCCCAGACAGCAATGATGTCATGGCGGAAAGTCGCAAATGCGTTATGAGTGCATATCAGCACCTGTCAGCTGCTGCCTGTCGGGAAGCCTGCTTCTCGCGCCGTCCCGAGGTACTGTCTGCAGCCAGTGCGCATCCCTCGCCACGCTCACAAACAATGGTGGCCGCCGCGCGCCGGCCCCCGCGCGAGCTCCGCGTGTGGGCGGGGCTGGCGCGCCGGGGTCCGGCCCGGACGGTGGTCGGCTGAGCAGATCGTTATTGCTAGGCGGGGTGAGGCCGGGTGGGCGGGGCGGTGCCAAGGACGCGCTGAGGAGCCGGGGTGAGCGGGGATGGGCGGCTAGACGGCTGGGCGGCACCAGAGCCGGCCACCAGTGCAGCGGAGCAGTGACGGCGGCATGCCCGCACGCTTCGACACCTGGTCACGAGTCACCACAGCACATGGAACGGAATACCGACGCCCCACCGCTGCTTACTGCTGCCGGGCTGGAGCAGCCCTGTCTGCCGTCATCTGGGAGTCTGGCCGGCCGACACGCACCCTCCGCGCGCCACGCGTGGGGAGGTGAGGGCGGCGGCTCCGGAGCCGCGTTTTGTCCAGAGATCCGGCGTGTGCCGGAGCACGGCACGTCCTAGTAAGCGTTTAGGGGCGGGCGCCGGGCGCGAAACTATGACACACTCGTCCCCGCCGGGAACGAAACATACCGAAGCATACGGCTCTAGACTACATACGCATGCGGCCGACGTATGCCCTAACACCACCAACGCTCTGAGTAGGTACATCACACGTTATGATATTGACGTAAGCAAATTTCCCCTGAGGGAATGTCTGGATTCTCTTTCGCGGCCAGCGCGTGCCAGCTCTTCGCCGCGCACTGTGCCGTTCCTGCGTCGGTCTCCGGGCCTGCTGTTCCAGTGACGTCACAGACCGTCGCCGGGGTGAGCCTGGCCATCGCCTACCAGGCGTAGTCAGGCTCTTCGTTGGTCGCTGGCTGCGGCGCATGGTACACCATAGCCGGCTCGGGCGCCTTGACCACCATGCCGTCCCGCAGCTGCCTGTTGTAGGTGTCGCTCCACTCCTGCGGCATGCGCGCCGTGCGGTCGTCACGTGACATCGGGAGAGGGGTGTTTGGTCGCTGCCATCGCGTCGCACATGGCGCGCAAACAACCCCGAGATGAGCTCTGCGCGCATCAGAGGTATGCTTCCCGAGGGAAGGAAGGCGCAAGTAGTCATGTTCGGACCGGGTTTTGCTGCCCACTCGAGAATACGGCCATACAAATGGTCAGATACTTCGAGAATTGGACATGGCGCAGCGTGGACGATCTCCGAGCAGGGCTACCATATCACGCAGAGGTCAACTGCCGGTCTTCCTAGACAGTGCTGCCACCTGGACATCTACGGATGCACACTAGCCGCCCCCTTGGTGAAAGAGAATGGAACGGGCGGGAGGCAAGCCAGACGTTTGGTGAAGTGCACCGAAATCGCTACTTGGTGTAAGAAATAGAGGGCGCCTGCTCGTGTTTTCTCAAGCATTACGTGTTCAGATTTGTTATCCTGAGCTTGTGTGCTTCAGCGTACCAAGGGGGTGGGGGGGTACTGGTAACACGATGCTACAGTGAAAATGTTACTTGATATTGACAGTGCTCGAAATTTGAATCTGGACTTATGCTCGCGACTCGTGGGCACAGACGTGTGCTCATCATAACCCCTGCTTGCAGTGGTGAGTAATGACAATATAACCAATAGTTTGTACGTACCTTGCAAACACTTGTCAATAGTTTGCATAATAACGTGCTTTACCATTCCGGTCACTTTGCCGATCATTGCCTCACACAGTTTGAAGAATGACAGCCGAGCCTTGATGACAGTTATACAGCATGAACTACGATGACAAAAATAAATATTCACATGTTATTTTTAGCATAAACATAAGCGTGAATATCCTTGATTGGGGTTGAGGTCATCCAGGCCTGCAGTTCGATACAGTCGTATGCCGGGTGGATGCTACGTGATGAGGTCATCCAGGCCTGCAGTTCGATACAGTCGTATGCCGGGTGGATGCTACGTGATGAGGTCATCCAGGCCTGCAGTTCGATACAGTCGTATGCCGGGTGAATGCTACGTGATGAGGTCATCCAGGCCTGCAGTTCGATACAGTCGTTTGCCGGGTGGATGCTTTGTCAGGAGGTTACGCTTCCCGCGTTTATTTACCTTGAAATTTGGTGGCTTGAAAGTATAGTCCTTCTGGTCAAGCTGATCTTTCTCCGTGACCACGCTGTCCAGACGCAGCTTTTCTTCGTCACAGCTGAATTGCAAGAACGGGTTGTACGGGTTGCTGGACTTGAGCGACGCATATCCGTAGCCGCCGTTGCCTCCGCCCGGGAAGCCTGCAGTGTTTTGGCCTCCGGCAGTGAAGGGGTTGGTCCCTCCTGAACGCATCAAGATCGCCATCACCAAGGGCGTCATCATCAAGATAATCATCACCCGGACGTCGACACAGGTCAGCCATCTTCGCTCGCAGCTGGCAGGCAGCTGTCACAGCGGAGAGGGGGGGGGGGGGGGCACCTCCGCTGAGCCAGTGCCCAGCTGTCCGCGATGTCTTCCTTTTCAGGCTGCTGGGAGCAGATATAGTATGCGGCTGGGAACGTTGTAATATAAGCTTAGTTTCCAAGAACGTGTTAAAACTTGGCACCGACTGACCATACATGATAAAGTGCACAAGTGTGCATATCCTCAGTCAGAAGTCAGTGCACAAGTGTGCATATCCTCAGTCAGAAGTCAGTGCACAAGTGTGCATATCCTCAGTCAGAAGTCAGTGCACATGTGTGGATATCCTCAGTCAGAAGTCAGTGCACAAGTGTGCATATCCTCAGTCAGAAGTCAGTGCACAAGTGTGCATATCCTCAGTCAGAAGTCAGTGCACAAGTGTGCATATCCTCAGTCAGAAGTCAGTGCACAAGTGTGCATATCCTCAGTCAGAAGTCAGTGCACAAGTGTGCATATCCTCAGTCAGAAGTCAGTGCACAAGTGTGCAATCCTCAGTCAGAAGTCAGTGCATAAGTGTGCATATCCTCAGTCAGACGTCAGTGCACAAGTGTGTGCATATCCTCGGTCAGAAGTCAGTGCACAAGTGTGCATATCCTCGTTTAGAAGTCAGTGCACAAGTGTGCATATCCTCAGTCAGAAGTCAGTGCACAAGTGTGCATCCTCGGTCAGAAGTCAGTGCACAAGTGTGCGTATCCTCAGTCAGAAGTCAGTGCACAAGTGTGCATATCCTCAGTCAGAAGTCAGTGCACAAGTGTGCATATCCTCAGTCAGAAGTCAGTGCACAAGTGTGCATATCCTCAGTCAGAAGTCAGTGCACATGTGTGCATATCCTCAGTCAGAAGTCAGTGCACAAGTGTGCATATCCTCAGTCAGAAGTCAGTGCACATGTGTGGATATCCTCAGTCAGAAGTCAGTGCACATGTGTGGATATCCTCAGTCAGAAGTCAGTGCACAAGTGTGCATATCCTCAGTCAGAAGTCAGTGCACATGTGTGCATATCCTCAGCCAAAAGTCAGATATAATCAAAATGCATCTGGTTTGTCTATGCGAAGAGCCGTGGCTTAGGCTTAGTTCTTCTGGTCGAGCTGATCATATAGTCGGGCATCATGTAATCATGGAAATGCATTGTGCAATGTGTTCACTCGTGACTACCCGCAACACGTGGCTCTGAGCACAGCAGGAAAATTTGGGCGTTTTTCGTAGCATTCTTCATTTAATATAGACCCATCTTTTAGCCACTATCACCTGGTATATCAAAGGTCGGTTATTTATAGCTAAGAATCTCATAATGGCGGTTTTGCATGCCAATTTGTGGCTCATTTTTCGTGTCAATATCCGGATTTATACAGATGTGGTCATCCGGGTTAACTTGCTTCATGTTTTACATTAAAAGATCAGGTCAAGCCTCTGTCCTCCGATATCATATTGATTACGTAATGGGAGCATTTTTCATAGTAACATCTGCCACAGGAATTTAATGGTCCTAAAGACAAGAATACATTACGGGGTATAGGCATTATCCAAGGCATATTACTGTTCATGGCATTATGCGTCCCGATCGCCCAGTCACGGCGTCACTGGCATTATCCAAGGCATGTTATTGTTCATGGCATTATGCGCCCCCATCGCCCAGTCACGGCGTCACTGGCATTATCCAAGGCATGTTATTGTTCATGGCATTATGCGCCCCCATCGCCCAGTCACGGCGTCACTGGCATTATCCAAGGCATGTTATTGTTCATGGCATTATGCGTCCCCATCGCCCAGTCACGGCGTCACTGGCATCATATCCGTACCAGTGTAAGTACGTACACGGAGAGACCCAAGGCCGCGTCCGTGCTGCTTTCCGGATTTGGGCAACGTGATGGCATAACGTGGGTGTTAAACTCCAATAAAACTGATCGGGGGCGGATCCCGGATTTCGCCAAGGGGGGCCAGCAACATTGTGGTGTTCCCTGAAGTTTGGGGCCCCCTCCAAAAAATATATTTGCATTTTGCCATCACATTTAAAGACAAGTCAGCAAGATTATATACATACATATATATATATATATATATATATATGTGTGTGTGTGTGTGTGTGTGTGTGTGTGTGTGTGTGTGTGTGTGTGTGTGTGTGTGTGTGTGTGTGTGTGTGTGTGTGTGTGTGTGTGTGTGTGTGTGTGTGTGTGTGTGTGTGTGTGTGTGTGTGTGTGTGTGTGTGTGTGTGTGTGTGTGTGTGTGTGTGTGTGTGTGTGTGTGTGTGTGTGTGTGTGTGCACTTATTTATTCATTTATTAATAAATACGGAAACCCATTTTACTGTAAACAGCCATATAAAGCTAGGCGTGTTACGTATCCATACACGCAGAGCTCACTCATTTTCTACAGATGATGTTAAATGCCGTGATTTTGAGCCCAAGTGTTTCGGAACAACAGGCAAAATAAACTTGAGTTGGCTAACAATCATCAAAACAAAGTATGGACTTGATTTGGAGCTTATGTATTTACGGCTAGCCGGCTGGGCGATGTAATCAGCTAATGGCTGATGCTGATGCGGAATTTTTCCTTTGCTATTAAGGAATACAGCATATCCTATCACTCAAAATATGTTAGTAAGATGATGCAATGGTATAATAAGTGTCACATACTCAACAGCCAATGGAAATGACACATACGACGTCGGCGGCATGTAAAATTACATTCGGCAATCGCGCGTAAAAATTCATCGGCGCGTGTTCCATTGCTGCTCTAAGGCAAAGGCATCAAGGCCAATAGGAACGGAACTTGAACGATCATGGGTGCCGCAGGAGGCTAGCAAAATGGCTGCCGTCAACAGGTATAGGGTCCTCAGAGCAAGCAAAAAGAACCTGACACCAACGTGGTGGGCCCCTAAACGATCGGTATTGCCTTGGCAGGCTGACATATAAAGTCCCGTCCCCGGCCAGCACAGGACGATCACAGCAAAGAGGAACCATCCAAGACCATAAATTAATACCCCTGTACGATCAAGAGTGCACGGGCAGGTTAACAACACGAGCCTCAATAGGAATAAAAGTCCTCTGCAACTGAGACCAAAGGGAGAAACCCTTCAATCAATGCAGAGGGCTCCTGAGCATCGAGTGTCTCCGTGCCTACAGCACATGGCTCTCCAAGCAAGGGGACAGAACCCGATATTTACATGAAGGGCCCCTGAGCAACTGAGTGTACCTTGGCATATGGGGCCACGGAAAAAGTGTACGGAGCCTTTCGGGCGAATGGGAAAAATCCGTGGAGGAAAACCCGATCGATCAACAGTCCTCAGGCATGGAGGCAAATAGCGTCCCAGCAGCACATTGCGCCTTACAAGAAAATGCAAAGAGGTCAAGGGCGACGTGGAAAGCTTCTCAGCAATCGGATTGACCCGGCAAGTAGGCATATAGGGCCAGACAACCAACAGCGTTATGCCTCTAGACAACGTAACGAGTCACAAAATTTTCCCCAAGCAACACTTTCCTCAATCAGCGAAGATCTAACTTTGTTTGCTTACGAACCCTTCACTTTTGCTAGCAATGGTTCTTGGTCATCTGTGGGCCCGACACCACGCATTTTTTAATGTTTTTGTTTAAGAAAGGTACTTCCGTCCGGCCGGTGAAGGGCCTCTTTGGAACCTTTAGGCGCCGTCGGCATGGTCCGCGGGCATGGTCCTGTGCCCCACCCACCCTCTGCATCCGCCACGGCCCGAGCAGCTCAATAAATAGGGCCCGTTAAGAACATAGGGCCATCCATTCAAATAGAAAATGCCTAAGATCCAATGTACAGGGCCCCCGAATGATCGAGTGCGCCAGAGAAGGCCAACAGATAGGGCCCCCCGAAAGAGCGGAGGGCCCTCCATTCAAAAGGGAACTGCCCAAAACTAGATGTAGAGGTCCTCACAATCGAATGGGCCCGAGCATGTTATCAGAAGGGGCCCCGACAGGAGCGTAAGACCCTCCATCCAAATAAGAAGTATCCAAATCCTGGTGCGGAGGGTCCCCGAAATGTGGAGTGTACCCAGACACGTTATCAGATGATCCCGATAGGAGCAGAGGGCCCTAAATTCAAACACCAAACACCAATGTGCACGGCCCCCAAGCAATCCAGCGTGGCCGAGGAGAACAGTGCGAACTCCCGACAAGCGCGTAGGGCCCCATTAAAAGAACACGTGCCCAAAGCCCAGTGTAGAGGGCCCCCGAACGATCGAATGTGCCCGAGTAGGTTTTCAGATAGCCCCCACCCCCCCACCCCCACCCCCTACAAGAGCGTAGGATGACCCGCATTCAGAAAAGAAGTACCCAAGACCTAGTATAGACGGTCTTAAAACGACTGGATATGCCCAAGCAGGCCATCAGATTGGCCCCCGACAAGAGCGTAGGGCCCTAGGCCAGTGACAGAGAACTGGAAACATCCCAGAACAATGTAGAGGGCCCATGAACATAACGTAAGTGTGTCGGTACGTTGACCGAGATCGACGTAAAGGGGCCCTGAGCAACCGAGAACATCCCGGCAGGTTAAGATATGAGACCCCGGCTATAGATCACAGAGCCTTTCCGGCGAATGGGAAGAATCCGTGCAAAGGCCCGTGATTGACAAGAGCTCCCCGGCACGCTGACGGGAAGGACCCCAACAACAGCGCAGGGCCCTCCAAGGAAGTGCAAAGAAATGAAGGGAAACGTGGAATGCTCCTTAACAATCGAAATGATCCTGCAAGTGGGCATATAAGTCCACCGGAAACAACATGGGACCCCTAGGCAGTGTAATGGGGCTTAAAATTTCCAGTTCGCAACTTTTCCAATGGTTCAATTTTTTTTTTTTTTTTTTGATCTCTCAGAGGCCCTTCACTTTCGCTTACAGCTATTCTCGGTGGCCTAAAAGTCCAGAGATACCCAGGTTTGTTGCGTTTTGTGTTTTTAAAAAATGCGCCTGTTCGGCCCGCTATGGGGCCCTCTCGAAGCCAATGGGCCCATTCGGGGCCCAAGGGGAGATGTCTCCATCGCCTCCCCCCCCCCCCTCTGGATCCGCCCCTGAAACTGATATATGCTCTCGAAACAAAATAGCTTGCGCCTCTATCTTCAACCGCAAACCAGATGCATGTTACAGCTCATTATATATTGACGCTGACTGGCGCTGAGATGATTGGCGTTGCCGCCCCGTGATGGGAGACGGACCAGTGGCAGCCTGCTGGACCGAGCTCGAGCAGGGTCGCTGAGATAATCAGCGTTGCCGCCCCGTGATGGGAGACGGACCAGTGGCAGTCCGCTGGACCGAGCTCGAGCAGGGTCTCGTCTCACCCGGGGGCGCCAGCGTGCCGTCCTGCGCCTGGTAGTTGGTGGAGCCGTAGCCGGGGTCCTGCTCGTGCAGCCGCGAGGAAGAGAGCGCGCGCGGCATCGGGCTGGCCGGCACGCCGTGTGGCGCCAGCGCGCCGCCCTCGTCCGCCATCTGCCGGCGCGCCGCTGGCGGTCATCGTGGCCTCCTGGTACGGCGGCGTCAGCTCGCCGAGTGTTCCCCCTTCAGGTGCTGACGACACCTTCTCATTTGGCAATGCGATTGATTCCCAACATTGACAAATGGGCCCACTGAACAGGGCTTGAGATGTTTTGTTCTCGAGAGCAATTAGAGAGAGGCCAGTCTGTAGCAGGCTGATATTCACCTGGCGTGGATCTTCACTAGGGTCCAGATTCGTCTGGAAGCCAGTGTCCCTCTTGTAGAAATTGATGAAGATGAAGAGCGCCAAGACGAACAGCGAGAGAAAGCCGTAAATGCGGAACGTCACCTGAGAGCCTGCGAAAATATTGAACACAAACTTCGACTTGTGGGAACCATTTGCCTCACGGATCATTTTTGGGAACATTCAAAACAAAGCTATCTAAGCAGTTTGATATTAGGCAGCGCCATATGATACCATCCCAAAAGGTGCCTCGTAACCCATGGTCAAAATTCTGCGCAGGAATTCGCAATAGTGATATACGCGTCGTGACACAGCAGGTTTATGAAAGGGGTAAATCACTCGCGGCTCATTTCTCTGCATAATCCTCTTGACGAATTGAAAATGCGATAGGATCTGAAAAAGTGTGCAGAAAGTAGGTTTTGTCTAGATTATATTCTAAAGGCGAGCTGACAATGTATTTGGGTGTTGATGAATTACGCTAACGTGCACAACAATGTGTTCAAAAATGAGCCTCAGGCAGAAGCGTTGGTTTTTTAGATAGGCATTCCGGCCGGCGCTATCACAATCACTTGCTATCACCAAAAACCTTTCATCTGCTTACGCTACTGACCGATATAGTTGACGACGATGCCACCAAAGATGGCGCCACTGCCCTTGCCGAGCGCATGCTGGATGACTTGCAGCACACCCTGAGCCGACTGCCTGTGCTCGGGCACGGCGTGATTCAGGTACGAGACGCACGCCGCCCAGGTCGAAGCGTGAGTGATGCCTGTGAGTCGGGGGGGGGGGGGGGGGGACAAGACGATTATGAACGCAGCACAGTGAGCTCGTGACGAGCTCTTGTGATCACCGTGAGCTCGGTGAGCTCGTGACGAGCTCTCGTGATCACCGTGAGCCCGGTGAGCTCGTGACGGGCTCTTGTAATGACCGTGAACCCGGTGAGCTCGTGACGAGCTATTGTGATGACCTCGAGCCCAGTGAGCTCGTGACGAGCTCTTGTGATGACCGTGAGCCTATCGAGCTCGTGACGAGCTCTCGTGAGGACTGTGAGCCCAGTGAGCTCATGACGAGTTCTTGTGATGACCGTGAGCCCAGTGAGCTCGTGACGAGCAGCTCTTGTGATGACCGTGCGCCCAGTGAGCTCGTGACGAGCTCTTGTGATAACCGTGAGCCCAGTGAGCTCGTGACGAGCAGCTCTTTTGATGACCGTGAGCTCAGTGAGCTCGTGTTGAGCTCTTGTGACCGTGAGCCTGGTGAGCTCGTGATGAGCTCTTGTGATGACTGTGGTGGCCGATTCATGGCTGAACCGACGCTGGACCGTTCGGGCTATACGATGTACGTGGGAGGGTGGAGCAGGGCCAGGGACTCGGCGGAGATTGAAACGATCCGGTGCTGGCGAGCGGGCACAACTCTGGAATCGTGTTTCACGTTCAGCTATTACCAAAAATTACTTGGTATCGTCACAAGGGGAGCAGCATTTTGCCATCAGACAAGTCTGGCTCATAGTGCATCCCTTGAGGCGAAAGCTGACATGATGGACACGGTTTAAACTTTTCACTCCTAGAGATCATATTTCCTTCCCTAAACTTTGCCCAACTGATCTATAACCCAACTTTGGAGTTAGTGTCTATCGAATACAGTAATGTAATAAACATAAATGTTTCATGGCAAGGAAAGCTGCCGGCCGGGCTGGTCTTGCTTCATTTGCAGGGACAGGTGTAAGTTCAGCGGATTAAGTTGGCTTGGTCGATCTAATGGGGGCTTTGTGACCCGAAAAACCAGGTACCTCTTGCTTATTTCAGCAGATATGTGTTATATAGTCCATATGCACATACAGCCCATGTAGGTTTTAGCAGGAGGTTACAGCAATCGGTACATGTGCGCCCCAACTACTCTGCTCAGACAGAGACCCAAACAACTACAACTAACAACAAACAACTACTCCTACTATAAACGAACCACCACACTACAATCTTTTGATTTTCTGCATAGAGGGAAAACTCGCTCGAGCAATGCCACGGAGAGTGCGTCGGCTAAAACTTAAGTTTAGGTAAATGGTCTTTTAGCTGACCAGAACCTGAAAGATGCATTGTTCTCGCCCTGCGTTTTATTGATATAGGGGTCACTGTGCCTTCGTTGAGCAATAATCAGATAAATCTGTAGCCAGGAATTGTCGTGATTTAATTGTGAACAATCAAAGAAGCGTAATAATGTTTTAGTCGGCTCACAAGACAGTGTATGCCATCGGACTTTCAACAATTTCATTCCGTTCCAACCTTTCACCTGAAAAATCGAGTGGGTTTTGGTGTAATGAGGGCAACCGTCACATTCTTGCCACGTCTTGGTCTCAACTATAAATGTTAGATGGGAGGCTTTCAACAAAAAAGTATCAACGCAAGTTGATCATACGATACCACAATGAGCTGAGTAGTGAAAAATAGCTGTTTTACATATATATATATATATATATATATATATATATATATATATAATAAGCTGAATAGTGTCAAAATTGGCTGTACTGTGAAGATCCATACGTGAGTGTTTTTCTCCCCTCTGAACTAGTGCCCGACGGGCATCTTTTTTGCCTGAGCCGGACGGGCAGGGGTCGGGGGAGGGGGTTTCAGTGAGCCCGCTTTCTCAGACACTCAGCAGCACTAGATAGCCCCGTGATTGTGGACCACACTAGTCCCGTCGAGCATCAACGCAAGAGACCTTCGGTTGATTAGCGAAGAAGGGGCCTGCATTTACTAGGTTAGAAAGACAAAACTAATGAGCGTAGGCCCATTCTCTACCTTCGGAGCTTTGTGGGTACGTCAGAAAATGAGCTGGTACTGCATGGATCTGAGCGAAATGAGCCATGAACCGATAGGTCGCCGTCAGTGGTTGTGACATGTGACATGTCAAATGAGGTCATGCACGTCGAGTTTGTGTGTACATGCTCCTAAGCATAGCACAACAATGCTACACACGACACTGGGTGCAGCTTGCCAGACGGCATCGAGCACCAGTGATTTAAGATGCGCCCAACATGATCGTGAAATTTCAAAAGTTATTTATAAAGGTATCTCCATCAGGCACACGTAACCCAACTTGACCATGATGACCCGACCTAATCTCATTTTACAGAAACCCATCATATCGCAGCATGAAATGAGGCAGTAAATCGACACAGGAAATTGAGACTTAAGAGCTCTTAGGAGCAGGATCCCATTCGACAAAACATTTAGAACGCATATTCTGTGACATGCGTAAGCTATCGGGCACCTGAGCGCAAAATGTCACCTACGCGATCTGGACCTACAGGTTTGCACTGTCGCTAAGTTCGGTCTTCAAATTTCTGCATGATTCATAGACATGTTGAAAATTGAGCTACCAAAGCTTTCGTAGCCCCGCGTCGAATGGCTGTCGCGGGCGACACCGCAGACGGAACAGGTCTTCACGTGTACTGCCCGGTGATATCGCACGCAGACGGAGCAGGCCTTCACGTGTACTGCCCGGTGATATCGCACGCAGACGGAAGGCCTTCACGTGTACTGCCCGGTGATATCGCGCACAGATGGAACAGGCCTTCACGTATACTGCCCGGCGATATGGCGCGCAGACGGACCAGGCCTTCACGTCTACTGCTCGGTGATATCGCGCGCAGACGGAGCAGGCCTTCACGTGTACTGCCCGGTGATATCGCGCGCAGACGGAACAGACCTTCACGTATACTGCCCGGCGATATGGCGCGCAGACGGACCAGGCCTTCACGTGTACTGCTCGGTGATATCGCGCGCAGACGGAGCAAGTCTTCGCGTCTACTGCCCGGTAATATCGCAGCTTCAGAACCGCGGCCTGGCCTATCCTGTCACGCTGCTGACAAGCTTATGTTTTCCAGCCACCGACCGCACGGCCATGAAGTTTTCAGAACCAAGCGGCACGATACGTTAGAAGGCATGCTGTAATATTTTCGAGGCATCTAACTGCAAGCTGTTTGACCAATCTGTATTTAGTACCAAACAGTAATTACTTCTGCAATGTTGCTCCAATGTTGCCATCTCACCATTCGATTCCAACATTTGAAACGTTAACTACCAGATCGTAAACAATCTGAAGGATGCGGATCTGGAACGGGTCCTGATCTCGACGACCAGACGTTGCAACAGCAACTAATTCATGCTGACGGAGAACAAAGGGACATTTGTGTTGGCAAAACATGGGTCAAGATGTGTAGAGCCCAACATGCGATCGCGCGTAAACTATGGGCCCGCCCGCTTTTAGAAGTTTGTTTCGGCAGCCACGACAGGCACGGGCGTAAAGCCAGCTGGTGTGCGGTATAATGATCCATTTGACATAATGGACACGTCACAGCAAACTGTGGCTAGTGCACGCCTGAGCACTGCACAGCGGCAAACTTACCTTGGATAAGCTCGAAGGGCAGCACCCACCAGGGGTTTCTCAGCCAGGAAATGTACAAGAATCGCAGTACATTGGCTACGAGCCCCAGACAAAGAATCTGGAAAGCACGACATTGTCAGACCTGCATACTGGTACATATATCCATAAATGTCCCAGATTTTTGTGTAGACGTCACGTGCATGGCAATGACAGTACAGCTCAGCTGCTGGCAGTATGACAAAACCTGTCCATTCGGCAATCCAATGCTCTCGATATTTGTGGGTGTGCGTGTGCGTGTGCGTGTGTGTGTGTGTGTGTGTGTGTGTGTGTGTGTGTGTGTGTGTGTGTGTGTGTGTGTGTGTGTGTGTGTGTGTGTGTGTGTGTGTGTGTGTGTGTGTGTGTGTGTGTGTGTGTGTGTGTGTGTGTGTGTGTGTGTGTGTGTGTGTGTGTGTGTGTGTGTGTGTGTGTGTGTGTGTGTGTGTGTGTGTGTGTGTGTGTGTGTGTGTGTGTGTGTGTGTGTGTGTGTGTGTGTGTGTGTGTGTGTGTGTGTGTGTGTGTGTGCATGTTGACCATTCAGCTTACTGAATATCGTGCATGCACGCATGTCTTAGGCCTGGACCCCAGTCCGCACCGTAAACGGCCAGAACGGGCGCCAGCTGCCGAGGACGTCAGCAACGCGTCCTGGGGTAACACGAGGGCGAGCAAGGAGCGCTAACATGAACTCGTCGTCTAGTACTTCTCACGCCAGTCCGCTCATCCAGTGTCTCGTTTCGCCACCTCCATTACGCGTTCCCCACCGACTGGTGAGCTTGTGGTTGATTCCCTCACACCAGAAGCGATTCCGGTTCGCTCAGAGCATGGATCCATCTCAACTGTGGCTCCCATCAGCAAACAAACATTTGAGTGGACTCCGATACCGATTCAGGGAGGTATGGCTAGGTTTCCGTGTCGATTCTCATGGTGACCATGCCGTTGACGCCACCTTAAGCGATCACTCTGTGGCCTCTTTAAAACCATGATAGGACATGCGTGTTTTGATACCTAGGCGGCATCATATCTGTTTCATTTGTTTCACATATATGCTTTGCCAGAATAGGGACGTATGTTGTTCCTATTATCCGCATTTTGCCGTCTAATCGATAATTGTATCAATCAGCGTCGACAAATTGTTCTGCGTTTTTTTTACGAAAAATAGTAATTTCACCATTGCTCAACAAAAAACCATGCTTAGTGAGGAGCCTGCTCCGGCTCGGACCCGAGCCAAGGTCAAGTCTGCCGACCGGGCATAGTCATTCGGCTGGCACCTGTTCCGGGGCAGCGGCTCGATAGCCGAGCTGGCGGCGACCATCGTAAACCGCTCACCGGCAAACGCGGCGGCGGATGAGGCCAAGTCTCACCTTGACGTGACCGTACTGGTTAATCAAACGGAAACAGAAGAAGTAGGCGAAAATCTCCGAGATGTGGTTGATGATTGAGGCTACTCCGAACACCGTTGGGGTTCCTCCAAAGTCCTGGAACAGGCGCGTTGCTCAGTTAGAGCTGGTTTTGACGTAAATGGTCGGCTTGTGCTGACCTGATCTGGACCACAGCTCGATTCTCTGTCGAGTCACCTGTCTCGGATGGAAACATGCAAGCTCGATTAGTTTAATGAAATTTGACTGAAGGTACAATCAGTCCATTCGTTTGAATGGTCACATTGGCTTCAGCAACTCTCAGCCCAATTAAGCGCAGCGTCGGTGGCGTCTATGGAAGCCTGCCGTACGTTACACCAAAACCGATCATAGGTAGGAATAAATGATCATCCCCACACTCTGCGAGTCGGTACGGAGCGTGGCGAAACCGCTGGACTTAGGTCCTAAGCATTGCATCCTGGAGCTTAGCATACATATCCACAGGTGGGTTTGACAAACCAAGACACGGCGCCGGTACACTTATTGCGTTTTGCTTTAATTTTTTCCATATTTCGGACGCCTTGAAGCGCGTTCATCAAGTATGGTTTCCAGTAGACACCGTTCTCCCTTTATTGTGCAAACCTGGAGATGCCAGAAGAGGAAAGCGAAGATGAGACCCATTCCGATGCCCATCCACCAGGCCACAAACAGGAAGGCCATGCAGCGAACGTTCTTCAGCTGCTTGAAGACGGCAGTCCACTCCGGTATCTTCATCATGGTGTTGGCAAACACGCGGCTCTAAAAGATCATCAGTCATTAGTTGACCACACCAAGCCACGCTAATCCGAGGCAGAGATTCCGCGCACGTAGCGCCACCGCCCGCTCCTAATGACTGCCAACTCCAACAGCAAAAATGAGACAAACTGTGTGTGTCATCTCGCACTCTTCCCGCCAGCGGCCAGTCGGAGCGTGGCTGCGGGTCGAGTCCTGCTGAATCAGTCCGTGGTGTCGCCCTGCCTCCCGCTGGCTCTGCGCGCGGCCGGCGAGGGCCTGCGACCCCGCCTGTCCGGGCGGTGCGGCTTGTGTGGCCCACCTTGAGCTGCGGCAGGCTCTTCATGGCCTCCCGGATAGCCTCGCGCTGCGACTGCTGCGGCTCCGGCTGCGGCTTCTGCCAGTCCTTGACGGGCGGTACAGACGCCTCGTACTTCTCCTCGGCCGTCGGCTCCTGCTCCGGCTGCAATGTGTCGTCCGCGGAGGGCGTCGGTACGGACAAGGCCGTGGCATGGGAACCCGGCTCGGTCGGCCCCGCAGCCACACCAACATTGCGGCATGTATGTGTAAGTCTTTTGCGTCGGACGCTCATCATAGGTACATTCATCTCATTACAAATCGCCTCCATCGTGCAAATTAACTGGTGCATCTCTCAGATGCCTTTTCAAACCCCCACACCAAGCATTACAGCAATATCGTAGCGTGGTTATCATATCTTGGTATTGCTTCGTGCAAGTATGGTATTGATAAGATTCTGAATCTGAAACGTCAGTGGCCGTCGAAATTCAGAGCATGATAAGCCTTCAGCGAAAAACGGCATTGCGCGCCGTTTTGTTTGCGCCTCGCGGAGACGCGCATGATAACTGCCCTCACCTGCTGGTCGTGCGAGTAGTCGAACTTGAACTGGGTGGCCGTGATGAGCGCGCAGCCCATGAGCACGGAGAAGGTGGCGAAGCAGATGGTGTAGTTCCTCTCACCCGAGTGCGGCTCGCACGGGTGGTTCGGGAACGACGTGCTGTGGTCGAGCGCGATGCCCACGAAGAACATGGCAAGGCCCCAGCCGATGGAGCCGAACATGCGCTGTCGGCCGTAGTGGTCCGTGTCGTCACCCAAGTAACTGAGGATGACCGAGTCGGCCAGCGTGATGGCCGGCGCCGAGAAAAACTCGCCCAGCGTCACCAGCAGGAACGTCAGAAAGAACACCTTCTGGATGTCCTTGACGTTGTACACGATGCTGGAGAACGGCGGAGTGCGGAGCGTGTCGTGCTTACTCTTGTCGTAGTTGACGACGAATGTCATCTGCGGGAGAGGCGTGCAGAGGGCTAAAGCTGACCCCGCTGCGTGATGATCCGTGGCTGCACTTGTGTGAATATAGTTGCCACGTGAGCAACAACAGTGGAGGGGCTCTGAATTTAGGACACTGGATACACGCCAGAACATATAAGTTATTTTCACTGTTCACCGTAGAGTGTTATCAATGCCTGACAGCAGGTGTTGGAGCAAGGAACTTCACAGGTTAGTAAATTCATATGCACCCACATCGGATGAGTAATGATCTGTGTAAGATGCAGATTTTGGGACTATCACGTGTGTGGGTATGGGTGTGGGTAGACGCTTTCTAAAAGGTCGGATAGATTCTTTATGACATGTTACAAAATGCCACTGTTTGCGCTCAGAGTGTTGACAAATGCAAACTGATGGGTGACGGTGGGAATACGTTCGGAATGGATAGCTGGTAGACACGGGCACAACCCCATGGATAGTGGATGAATCGCTTAAAGGAAATCGTGCCAGTGAGAACCCCTATATTGCGTCAAAAAGAGACACCTTGAAGCGGCCTTACGTTCCTGCCATGTTCAGCAGCATGCTGTGTGCTGACCGCGGACGGCCGTTACAGCGCGACCCATTACCACAGCCAGTCAGCCCCAGCCGGCCGACAAAATGATCCGTAAGCCAGGCGCGCAGCTGGAGCCCAACAGACACTTATCCCAACAGCTTTGTTGACAGAGGAGACTGGGAAGGCTACGCAACTGAGCGGGCCTCTTCTGACTTCGGGGGTAGTCCTGTGGCGCAATTACAATGAGCTGTACACCTGCAGTTTTCAGGGGGAAAAGTTAGCATTGATAATATTTCCAAAAGGCTTCCTCTGGCTCTAGTTAATCGCGCTGCACTTAGTTATAGGTTCCAGAAGTCAGTAAAGACGAAGACTGTGAAGGTGAGTTGCCCCCCCCCCCCCTCCCCCAGGGGACCCGGGACACCGGACGGCGCACGAATTCGGCATCCTAAAAGTGTTGTGACTGAAGTTTTCTGTAAATAAAACTCTAATTCCAAAAAGTTATTTCGTCCGCAGCAAATTTTGAGCACCTAAAGTATTTTTACGTTAGTTTTCGGCAGCATCGTTACGAACTCGATGCAGGTAGGCACCACTAGCGAGTGTTTGCTTCGCGTTCAGTCCTCAGTAATCTTTTCATACGAGAAGGAGCTGGGGCTCAGAGCCGCCTCCCCTACCCCCCCCCCCCCCCCCGAGAGGCTTTTTGGGAAGAGTTGCGAACGGTTTTGCGCTCGTTGCTGTAATCTTGGGTAGACAAGCTTACCGTGGCATTTTGCTGAAAATGATAATTAACACCTAATTCTCGAAGTGAAAACAACCCACAGAGGTTTTGAACACTTGCCCTCCTTGACTTAAGGTATTACTCTCAAGTGCATTTTTATTGCTTCGGCGGATGTTGCAGTCATTAAAGGGGCAGAAAGGATATGCCGCAACTACTCGCAAATTCAATTAAAAATAAACTTTTTGGCAGGCTCTTTAGTCCCAACAATCCCGTTCTACCTTGATCATGATCTTTGAGTCCGGACTCTGATCTGGCTAGTTTAAGTCGTTCGAAGAAACGACGGCCACCGACATTAAGTGGATTAAATGGACTTTCTGTCACGCTGACAGGCCTGCGTCATGTGCAGAGTGACAGCGGACTTCTTTCCGAATTGGTCAATGTCACTTTGCGTGCGCGAACGTGGTGGCTGATGGTCTTCGTCCAGAGGCACAACCCAGACTTGGCTAATGGCCGCGACCGGGACCTCAGCTGGATAGAGCGGTAACGCCACCCAGCCTGCAATTAGCAGGTGGTCGCCACCTCCATTAACCCTTCACAGCCAGCATGTTCAGCGGTAGGCTTATCCTTGCACATCTGACACAATTGGCAGCTGGACTGTTCCTTCACAGCTAGTGTAATCGGCAGCCGTAGGACCCTTTCACAGCCGGTGCAATCGGCACCTGGATTATCCGCTGCCAGCCGGCGCAGCTTGCTGCAGCGAGAGACGCGTGCCCTCACCGCGCGCGGTGACTGTCCGATGATATGGCTGCGGTCGATGGCGATGTCACGGCGTCGCCGGCTCCGTCCAGTCCCGAACTCCGTGTCGTCCACCAGCTGCAGGTACAGCGGTGTCTCTAGGGTCTCCACCGCCGGCAGAGCCGGCACCGTCTCCTCCAGCAGGTCCACACTGCGTTTGGAGATCTGCCGGCACGGCCGAACTGTGCGGTCACCCGCAGTGCTAGGCCAAGCATCACCGCGCCGAGGCCCGGCGATGCCAACCAGCGCACCCGGCCTCGACAGGTTGTGGCTGCTTGGCACGGGAAACAGCGTATGCAACGAAAAACGCAAGCACTGAATTGGTGTATCAGTCGGCTGAAAGGCATCGTCATTCTTACCTTCTTGTCTTCGATAATGTAGTCGCCGTGGGTCTTGTTGAAGACGATGCAAGCCGTAGCTACGGGTTGGCAGAAGCTGAGCATCATGGTGAAGAAGATCCAGCAGCACAGCGCTGCGAGCAGCATCATCTTGCCCTTGCGATACCTATGAGGTGGAGGGTCGTTGTTGGAATTTCCACTTTCGCGCCAATGAAAATCGGGATAGCGGTGAAGGACAATACAAAACAAAACGAAACAAGTGATAATTTAAATCGCATGAGTATACACTGGGCAAGCGAGAGCCAAGTGTACACTGGGCGAGCGAGAGCCAAGTGTACACTGGGCGAGCGAGAGCCAAGTGTACACTGGGCGAGCGAGAGCCAAGTGTACACTGGGCGAGCGAGAGCCAAGTGTACACTGGGCGAGCGAGGGCCAAGTGTACACTGGGCGAGCGAGAGCCAAGTGTACACTGGGCGAGCGAGGGCCAAGTGTACACTGGGCGAGCGAGGGCCAAGTGTATACTGGGCGAGCGAGAGCCAAGTGTACCCGTGCGTGGCAATCCGCCGGCCTAGCGTTGATCAAGCACAGTGGCTGTTCCCAACAGTGTGGCAAAAATGGAAGGCATGCGCAGCATCGGCCTGACAGCTGGTTGTAGAACGTGACGGAACTGGCCGACCGTCAGCCTCCAGGTCTGGCGGAACCACCGACAGCCCATGGTTTGGATAATAAGTAGCAGCTTTGGGGATATGTGTATGCAGCCTAAATTGGGATTTATGCCTCGTTAACCAGCGGAGACTTGTAGCGGGATCCCGTAAAAAGGAATACAGCTCCTGAATTTTGATCCCACTGTCAAGGACCCAATAGTATCATTATTAAATTACTTGGGATATAGGCTTATGTCTGCGCAAGAGCAGCTTAGATGAGCATCCGCCTTCTTTCTCAGGGCAATGTCGCACATACCATTAGCCCACACAAGGAACACCAGACAAAGCCAAGCGACGTGCGTTTAACCACCACAGCTGAGTTCGTGACAGGTCATGATCAGGTGACTGACCTGGTCAGAGGTCACCGGACCGAACAGCTGAATAGCCGACGCTGTCCATATGACGGCGGTTAACCCCTTAACAAGTTCATCAAGCCGCTGTATGGCGGCTGGCCTCCCCACAGACCCTTCGAGCCGCTGTATGGCGGCTGGTCTTGCCACAGATCCCTCAAACCGCTGTATGGCGGCTGGCTTTGCCACAGATCCCTCGAACCGCTGTATGGCGGCTGGCCTCATCACAGACCCCTCGAGCCGCTGTATGGCGGCTGGCCTCGCCACAGACCCCTCGAGGCGCTGTATGGCGGCTGGCCTCGCCACAGACCCCTCGAGCCGCTGTATGGCGGCTGGCCTCGCCGCAGACCCCTCGAGCCGCTGTGTGGCGGCTGGTCTCGCCGCAGATCCCTCGAGGCGCTGTATGGCGGCTGGCCTCGCCACAGACCCCTCGAGCCGCTGTATGGCGGCTGGCCTCGCCACAGATCCCTCGAGGCGTTCGTAGTACCCCGTGGCGAGTGTGATGTTTCATCATGCAACAACGTGACCACCAAGAGTCAAATATTGGTGTCATTAGCTTTCCGTGCTCCACGGACAAGCATGTATTAGTTGTGGCTCCAAAATCGCGTAGAAACCCAGGAACATCCAGAAAAAACAACGTTGCAGCGAAAGAGCATTTGTGCAAACCAATGCTCTTTTATGCGAGGTTAGAGTATACCACAATTAATGTGGGTGCACCACTAGCATTCTTGACGCGTAGATGTTATTCGGGGCAACCATTTCCCGTACCGCTGCCATCTCTTTGGAAGCATTCAAGTGGCATTAGTGTTGACGCGTGTCTAAAATTGCAGTCAAATGTTGCTGCCGTTTCCACCAGACATCCCGGAGCAGACGCCGCTCCTCGCGTCCGCAGGTGCCTTCCGAGCAGCAGCTGCCACCCAGCAATTGGCTGGCACAGTGACACACCCATCATAGAGTGCTACCATCGGCTACCGTCAGAACCGTGCTGCGCTAGTTGGCGTCTGGGAACGGCCAACGCAGACGAAGGCTAGCACTTGACGTTGATAGAGAAATGCTGGAGACCACCAAGAACCGCGGCAAGCATAGAACCCTCGCGAAGAGCAGAGCAGAGTTGGCACTCGTGCCAGTGTGTGTGGGTCTAGATACCTGGAGATATATCATCATGCATATGAATAACCCGCCACTCAGTACATACATTCGGACTTGACACGCGCTTTCCCTGACCTGCTCCCATTGAAAGGTGACTTGTCGTCGTAACCCACACATTCATATCGGACTGACTCGATACTGAATCGTCGTCCGCCAACGGATCCGCATGTGCTATCATTACCGCCTTGTTTTTTTTCATCGATTTCTTGCCACTCAGTCGTAATCATTGCTTAGGTCTGCCCGAAACCCAAGCCCACCCCAGCTGGCGGACTGGCGGACCACGCGCGCCATCTGATCACCACTTGACCTCTCGGTCGGCCTGACCCCGGAAGGAGGCTGGGGATGTGCCCGCGGTTGGCCCCGGAGGGAGGAGGGGGATGCGCCCACCGTTGGCCCCGGAGGGAGGTTGGGGATGCGCCCGCCGTTGGCTCTGGAAGGAGGCTGGGGATGTGCCCGCCGTTGGCTCCGGAAGGAGGCTGGGGATGCGCCCGCCGTTGGCCCAGCGTGCGTGGGGAGAAACTCACCGTTCAGCCAGTCCGGCCCAGAAGGGCGTGGAGAGGAACTCGACGAACGGCCGCACCCCGATCAGGATACCGCACTGGCCGGCGTTCATGCCCATCTGCTTGAAGTAAACGGCCATCAGCGGGAAGAGTGAGCCGAACGCGCTGTAGAAGCAGAAGTAGAACGCCTTCGAGATGACCAGGTCCTGGTTGGCCGTGTCAAAGAGCATGTGCAGCAGGTCCGACTTTCCTCGCACCTTGTGTGTGCCGTCCTTGGGCTCGGGGTAAGCGTTGGGATCCACCTCGCCGGTCGCGTCCACGTCAACGAAGGGCCGCGCTCCGGCCGGCACGGGCACCGTGGGCTCCTGCCGCAGCGGCTCCTGCTGCTGCGGCCCGGCCTCCGCCGTGTACATGGCGTACGGACTGTCGTTCATGTCGGTTCCTCCTGCGACCGCTAGTTTGCGCACGCGGCTCTAGCTGGGCCGACGGGGGCGTCACCTGCGCCGCATGGCGGCGGGCTGGGGCCAGGCGGCGCGGTCAGGTCACCGTCCGATCGTCGGTCACCGCTCCTGTCGGACGCTGCGCCGCCCGGTCCTGGTCACGGCACCCGGCTGGGTCACACCGCCCCGCTGGACGGCCCGCTCGCGCGCACCGCCTGTTTTCGTCGCCCGGTTTCCGACCGCGGCAAAATCGATGCCCGGGACTCGCCGATGAGACGGCCGCGGCTGTTGGCGCAAGCGCACTGCTATCGACCGTCCTCTGCATCGACAGGCCGGACGCTCGCCAATGCGCCAGCCAAGCCTTCAACGCAGGCGTGCGGAGCCTGACCAGCGGTTTGTTTGAAAATTGTTCAGGCAACGGGTTCGCTTTTCACATCAGCATGCCCTTCAGCCGCGGAAGTGGATTATTACGATGGATAATGTCTAAATCCAAGCTCGGGCTTGAGATGTGCACGACTGTTCAATAGTCAGTCACATAATCTGGGCTGAGACTTGGTGGATACTGCCTTGAAATTACGTTTCTCTCAGGTCTTAAGGAGCTCCTGAGCATTGCCAAGCTCGCCGCTTTGGTGCGAGACACTCTAAGCTAAGCCAGAGCAAGAGGAGGGCAGACCCCTGCAAAAGGAGGGCAGACCCCTGCAAAAGGAGGGCAGACCCCTGCAAACAAGGAGGGCAGACCCCTGCAAACAAGCCAAAACTAAGGCTTGACCGTTGCACACTTCCCTCTAACAAGCAGCCGAGTATACGTATTGAATCATGTGTAAATAGGTGCCATTAGTGTCATGGATTTCACCGTAGCCATCTGGTGTGACTGATCAATGTCATGACTCAGATCGCACCGCAGTTAACTTCTCAGGTGATGGTCCGAGCACTACAGATGTTTTCGCTACAAAAATTTAGTGTTAATCAAGACGCCGTAACTTCCACAACTGTCAACCGCGAAGCTGTGTCAGGTAGCCATTGCGTCCACAAGCGACACCGCAGTGACACAGGCCGGTAGCTCGAGTCTGGGTTAATTCATTGTGATCAAGTGGCTTTCATCGTTTTAATTCAACGTCCACAAAATGCAAGACACGTGACGCCTCCATAAGCCTATTGACCCCCCAGGCATGACATATGGAGTTCTCGTGTTGTTTTCCTCGCTGTTCGTAATCGGAGGCTTAGCATGACAGGTACGTGGTGTCGTCCACCACAGATCCGTTCTTCCAGAGCAAACGCAGACCCGAGGAAACCACCTGCGATGTCACATGTTTTCTACATGGAGCACGCTCCCAGAACCCTTCGCACTCAGAACTCAAGAACAGTGGCGCAATGAGTCACGTGTTGCCGGGATGGGAACAACGTCTGGATCAGGAGTCAGTTCCCTCCCCCCTCCCAAGACTTCAACAGTAACCTCAGACTTACCACCACTTTGTTCACACAACTCCAAGGGCTTCTCGCTCAATCATAAGATTACAGGAAGCCTGGGACCCCAAGAGCACACAAGGTGCTCCCCCTACCGCGATGTTGCCGTGAAGGGAATCACACGCACTCTCTGCAGCAGTGTGCATTCTAGCGCAGCATCGCCCAGACACGCATGCCTCGTCCCGCTTTCGCCCCATCGCCAATACATGTCTGGTCCCGCGTTCGTCTCATCGATGCGGAAGACTGGTACATCGCCCAGACATGTCTGGTCCCGCGCTTGCCCCATCGATATGGAAGAGTGGTCCATCGCCCAGACATGTCTGGTCCCGCGCTCGCCCCATCGATATGGAAGAGTGGTTCATCGCCCAGACATGTCTGGTCCCGCGCTTGCCCCATCGATATGGAAGAGTGGTTCATCGCCCAGACATGTCTGGTCCCGCGCTTGCCCTATCGATACGGAAGAGTGATTCATCGCCCAGACATGTCTGGTCCCGCGCTTGCCCTATCGATTCGGAAGAGTGGTCCATCGCCCAGACATGTCTGGTCCCGCGCTTGCCCTATCGATATGGAAGAGTGGTCCATCGCCCAGACATGTCTGGTCCCGCGCTTGCCCTATCGATATGGAAGAGTGTTTCATCGCCCAGACATGTCTGGTCCCGCGCTTGCCCTATCGATATGGAAGAGTGGTTCATCGCCCAGACATGTCTGGTCCCGCGCTTGCCCTATCGATACGGAAGAGTGGTCCATAGCCCAGACATGTCTGGTCCTGCGCTTGTCCCACTGATACGGAAGAGTGGTCTCTTGCAGTCAACATCCCGATTACCCGAACCAATCAGGACTTACAATCGCGACTCAGTGTCCGTATCGAAGCTATATCAGATCTCAGCAAAATACGTTTTGTAATGCCAGTCATGCTTACTTTTCATCATGCCAGAAGTAATGAAACAACAATCAGTAGGTGAACAGCTACAAACCATCCTGTTGAATGCAATGCGTTGCAAAACAGCGTGCGAATCGTTGAATTATCTTTTATCCAAGCACGACTAAACTGACATAATCCGCAGCACGCCGGCCAATGGCTAGTTTATTCGTAGGCAATCACCACCGCTCTGGCAGGAACTGTT